GTATGTATGTGTGTTAGTGTGCATGTGTGTTAGTGTGCATGTATGTGTGTTAGTGTGCATGTGTGTTTGTGTGCATGTATGTGTGTTAGTGTGCATGTGTGTTTGTGTGCATGTGTGTTAGTGTGTATGTTTGTGTGTTAGTGTGCATGTGTGTTAGTGTGCATGTGTGTTTGTGTGCATGTATGTGTGTTAGTGTGTATGTTTGTGTGTTAGTGTGCATGTGTGTTAGTGTGCATGTATGTGTGTTAGTGTGCATGTGTGTTTGTGTGCATGTATGTGTGTTAGTGTGTATGTATGTGTGTTTGTGTGCATGTATGTGTGTTAGTGTGCATGTATGTGTGTTAGTGTGCATGTATGTGTGTTAGTGTGTATGTTTGTGTGTTAGTGTGCATGTATGTGTGTTAGTGTGCATGTGTGTTTGTGTGCATGTATGTGTGTTAGTGTGCATGTATGTGTGTTAGTGTGCATGTATGTGTGTTAGTGTGTATGTTTGTGTGTTAGTGTGCATGTGTGTGTGTTAGTGTGTATGCATGTGTGTTAGTGTGCATGTGTGTTTGTGTGCATGTATGTGTGTTAGTGTGTATGTTTGTGTGTTAGTGTGCATGTGTGTTAGTGTGCATGTATGTGTGTTAGTGTGCATGTATGTGTGTTAGTGTGTATGTTTGTGTGTTAGTGTGCATGTGTGTTAGTGTGCATGTATGTGTGTTAGTGTATGAATGGGTGTTAGTGTGTATGTATGTGTGTTAGTGTGTATGTATGTGTGTTAGTGTGTATGTATGTGTGTTAGTGTGGGTGTGTGACATTGAACCCCGCCTGCATTCACTACAAACACACAACAAAACACCAAACAATCACAGCCGAAGCCTCCAAACCAGTAAGTCAGGTGATGGGTCACATGACCCTCTATGAACAATAGAGCCAATCAAGCCTATTGTTAGTCGATGGTCCTCTTTTGCATGTGACTAACCTGTTTGTCCAGGTGGAGGCGGAGCTTCTAAGGCTGAGTTCACCTGAAACTCATCAGACTGAAGAAGTCTCTTGGAGGAGAGACGAAACGTTTCACTAAAGAAGAACCATCCAGAGGAACTACTGAGTTTTTCTTTTTGACTTTTTCTACCTGGATTACTGAGATGCTTCAGGACAATACAGATTAGGGTTACTTTCAGAGATTATAATCCTGTAATCCAGTTTATTTAGAACTCAGGTCTGAGGAACACAGACTTCAGTTTTTTGAACTTCCTGTCAGTTTTTGTGGGTTCCGTCAGTTGGAAAGAGGAAGTGAGTTTTCAACCATCAACTGCTCTCTGCTCCATCCAGGGATCACCTGCTGCCCTCTGTGCAAAAGTTTTAAACAAAGTCATTATGTGTTCAGATGACTCTCAGCTAATCTCAGCTAATCTCAGCTCAATCTGTTAATCTGACCGATGGTCATTTTGTGTTTGCCATGAGAGAAACCAAACTTTGGCAGATGTTTGTGTTTTTAAACTTGTTTTCAATCTTTTTCTTTCCGTTAAATGTAGAACTGATGCAGAGTCCGACCCATTATTTAATGGAACCAGAACCAACGTGAGGAAATCACTTGTCAAACTCAAGGTCCATGGGCCAAATATGGCCTGCCACGGCATTTTGTGCGGTCTACAAGAGCTTCAGACATAACAATGTCTTAAAATAAGCCAATTAAAGGCCAGCACTGATAATAAAAACTCCATCTCCCATAATGCACGTTGATTATTTTACCTGTGAAATGACAGCATCTCACCACCAGGTGGAGCTGCTCTGGTTTCAAAAGGCAGTCGGAGAAATTTTTCTGGTAAAATCTACATTTGCTGTGTCCCAGCTGTAATGGGAAGTGGGAATTTCCCATTTAAAAATCGTAAATTTAAACTGAATCACCCTTTTAGTGGTAATTCCCTGTTGGAAAGTGGGAGAGTTCAGAAAGCAAGATGGCAGCTACTCACCACAACTCATCAATGAGTAAAACTCTTACTTTTAATAGTATTTCTGTTTTATTTATTTCACACTTAGTCAGTCGTACACGTAGTACTTTTCAGTGTTTATAAGAAGATGGGGTAAATACTGTTTCTGTGCAGGAAATACCAGGTAGAGCTCAGTGTTTGTTAGCAGTGTTCAGTCACTGCAAAAAGTCGAAGAAGTGAGTTCTGAGGGTCCGTCATTATTACGTCACTTCCTGTTTGTCCTGAGGTCACCCTCATGTGAGACTCCAGGTTCTTTCTGAGGGTCTGTCATTATTACATCACTTCCTGTTTGTCCTGAGGTCACCATCATGTGAGACTCCCAGTCCTTTCTGAGGGTCCGTCATTATTACGTCACTTCCTGTTTGTCCTGAGGTCACCATCATGTGAGACTCCAGGTTCTTTCTGAGGGTCTGTCGTTATTATGTCACTTCCTGTCCAAACCCAACATCAACATCTTCTCTGCTGCAGCATGGGTTCTTTTGTCATCTGGTGTCTCAGCCTGAAGTCACTGCAGATGGATCAGAACCAGCAGCTCTGTTGACTCAGCACACACAGAACCGAACGGCTGCTCGCTGGATAAAAGATGGATTAGTGGGATTTAAAAGGTTTTTGATGGTTTTTAATCAAACTCCTTCTGCTCTTATTTTAGAAAACTTGTGTTTTATGGATTTATTGACCTGAGCGGGTCAGAAAAGTGGAATAACAAGAAGTTATAATTCCTTCTGTGAACGCTGAGTCAGCATTTATATTATTATCCTGTTTTACAGAAATATTTTTAGGTTCTAACTCCTCTTGCTTTGTGCCGTTTTAACCAACCATGAAATTAGAAGAATTCACTGGTTTCTACTTTATATTTAGGTCACAGTTATTACATCACAGTGAATGGAAACATAATTAAATAAATGAAGCTAATTGTCCAAATGAGTGTTAAATCAGACCTTCATGAATAAAAGCTGTAACAAACAGTGGTTCTGTAGAGAAAGTAGAAAGATTTAACAGCAGAAAAGTTTGTCTAAATTATAGTGATGTTTGTGGGTTTTCTTTTATCGGCTGTTCTTGTTTTGTTCACGAGTTTTATAAGCTACATTTTTTAACAGTTGTTTTTAACCTCCACATTTATATTCTTTGAACACCGATTACCATGAACGGCCTCTCTCTCTGGGTTTCAGTTTCCCTTTCTCTTTGGGTTTTGGCCCTCTCTTCGGGTTTTGGCCCCTCTCTTTGGGTTTTGGCCTTTGTCTTTGGGTTTTGGCCTTTGTCTTTGGGTTTTGACCTTTGTCTTTGGGTTTTGGCCCCTCTCTTTGGGTTTTGGCCTTTGTCTTTGGGTTTTGGCCTTTGTCTTTGGGTTTTGGCCTTTGTCTTTGGGTTTTGGCCTTTGTCTTTGGGTTTTGGCCATTCTCTTTGGGTTCTGGCCCCTCTCTTTGGGTTCTGGCCCCTCTCTTTGTGTTTTGGCCCCTCTCTTTGTGTTTTGGCCCCTCTCTTTGGGTTTTGGCCCCTCTCTTTGGGTTTTGACCTTTGTCTTGGGGTTTTGACCCCTCTCTTTGGGTTTTGGCCTTTGTCTTTGGGTTTTGGCCATTCTCTTTGGGTTTTGGCCATTCTCTTTGGGTTCTGGCCCCTCTCTTTGGGTTTTGGCCCCTCTCTTTGGGTTTTGGCCCTCTCTTCGGGTTTTGGCCCTCTCTTCGGGTTTTGGCCCCTCTCTTTGTGTTTTGGTGCCTCTCTTTGGGTTTTGGCCTTTGACTTTGGGTTTTGGCCTTTGTCTTTGGGTTTTGGCCCCTCTCTTTGGGTTTTGGCCTTTGTCTTTGGGTTTTGGCCATTCTTTGGGTTTTGGCCCCTCTCTTTGGGTTTTGGCCCCTCTCTTTGGGTTTTGGCCTTTGTCTTTGGGTTTTGGCCATTCTTTGGGTTTTGGCCCCTGTCTTTGGGTTTTGGCCATTCTCTTTGGGTTCTGGCCCCTCTCTTTGGGTTTTGGCCTCTCTCTTTGGGTTTTGGCCTCTCTCTTTGGGTTTTGGCCTCTCTCTTTGGGTTTTGGCCCCTCTCTTTGGGTTTTGGCCCCTCTCTTTGGGTTTTGGCCACTCTCTTTGGGTTCTGGCCATTCTCTTTGGGTTCTGGCCTCTCTCTTTGGGTTTTGGCCGTTCTCTTTGGGTTTTGGCCTCTCTCTTTGGGTTTTGGCCATTCTCTTTGGGTTTTGGCCCCTCTCTTTGGGTTTTGGCCCCTCTCTTTGGGGTTTGGCCCCTCTCTTAGGGGTTTGGCCTTTCTCTTCGAGTTTCAGTTTCTCTCTCCCTCTCAGGGTTCGTTCTGTCTGTCTCCCTCTCTCTTTCTCTCTGTTCAGCCTCCCTCTCTCTCTCTCAGGGTTCAGCCTCTCTCTATCATTAAAGCTGAACCCACTGAACCAGACGGCAGGTTCTCGTCAGCAGCGAGGATGAAAGCTTCTCTGCTCCTGACTCCAGCTCACTTCCACTGTTCTGTCTGCTGCAACAAGGACTCTTTGTGTCGGGTTTTCTATCAGGACAGGATCTGCAGCACCATGTCAGACATGAAGTACCGGGCGTACAGAACCACCTCGCTGTGTTCGAACAAAGAACTGTGAACACGGCCCTCTGCAGATAAAAAAATATTTCTTTCAGTCTGAATCTCTAACATTCAGCCAGAAAGATGAGACGCAGAAAGATTCAGAGACAAGAAGAAAAACTGTCTTTTTCTGTAGTCATGAAAACAGTGGCTTTTTAATGTAAACACTACATTCGATTGGTTTTTTTCCAGCACGGACATCCCACATGAAATAACAACCATTCACTAAAGAAGAGAAGAGGGAGAAGAAGAGAGAAAAAAGCTGCACAGGAAAAAGAAAAGAGCATTCACTGGGTAAAGAACAGAACAAAGAATTAAAAATAAAAACGTCTGTGAGGAGAACAGGAACAGAATGCCAAAACTCTGGATCATCATGTCATTTTACACAGTTTCTCTTTTAAAAACTAGAACTGAAAAAGGCAGGAAAAGGTTTATATAGATGACAGGTAACATAGATTAGGCATGAATAAATAACAAATTTCCAAATCTACTTGTGTGTGTTTGTGTGTGTGTGTTGTGAGAACTGTGCTTTTCATTATAGACCTGGAAGGAGTGAAAGAAACTGAAAAAAGACAGAAGAGGAAGAAGCATGAGTTTAGACAGCTTCGATGTGTGAACATGCGGCATCCCTAACTAGCGGACGCAGCGAGAAACGTGCTCTCCCCAGAAAAGTGTTTTTTTTCTTTTAAATAATAAAAAATAGATATTGTTATAATATTATATTTAATCGTTCTGAGTCAGGCTAAAGTGAGGACATGGTTCTAATGCAGGGAAACAGGCAGACCGGTAAAAGGAAGAGGAGTTTGGGGGCGGAGCTTAGAGCATTACAACAACACGGGGGGTCGTCCGGGATCAGCTCGGGAACCTTTTTCCAAAACATTGCTTAATTTATTTCAAAGAAAATGAGATTACACAGAGAAAGAAAAGTTCTGTAGCTACAAAGCACAAGAAAGTTTATCTTTTACCGGTTTGAAACCAGCGTTTCTTGGTTTTTACGTTTTATTGTGAAGTGAATTTGAAACTTTTTTTGACGTGTCGCTGCAGAAAATCCACAAAACCTGCACTTCTTATTTTATTTTTGCCACCTTCAATCCCAGTCTTAAACCAGTCCCCTCTCCCCTTCAGCTGCTTGTTATTCACGTTTTTTTTTTTTTTTTTTTGTAATTTATCTTTTGCACTTTTTTTTTGTAATTTAACAGTTTTTGTCTGAACAGTACTGGTGTGTAACTTTAAATCACAAGTTTTATGAATTAACTGGTTGTTTTTTTATACAAAGTCTTGAGTATCTCATGCTATCTGTGACAGGGAGGAAGAGGAGGAGGAAGGAGGGTGCCCTTTAACCCTGAAATCTGGACGCCTGGGCGCCATGCAGGAATGAGCTGAAAGGAAAGAGAGGAGGATGACGGTGAGATTAAATAAATGAGGAAGGATAAAGATGAGAGGCGATCAATTAATAAATAAATGAATAAACTAGTCAGGAGTTTGTTTCTTTAAATGGATTATTAATGCTGCTTTTAAAAGCGTAGCTATCTACAGCGCAGTGCCTCTGTTACGCAGCACTGAAGCCCGGCTGCTGGCTGCCAATGGCGAGCGGCGAAGGTCAGGTTCAGGGAACAGGAAGCCTCACTTCCTGTCGATGAAAACCAGGTTTTAAAACAAATCATTCAAGAATTAATCATAAAAAGAGATTCCAAACACCTTAAGATGTCTCCATATGTAAACAAAAGACTAAAAATCAGCATGATTAGTTTTTTCTAAGGTTCTGGCTCTGACCTTCCTGCTGCTTCGTAGTGCTTTTCTAATTTTTACATCTTTTTGAGACAAAAACAATAACAACAGCGAAAAAAATAAAATAAAATTCACAAATACAGGTGTCAGGTGAGGCAAAACGTGAGAAAAATCAGTGTACAGACTTATAATAAATATACATACAATCAAAAATAAAACAGCAGTCATCATCATCGTAA